CTGGCAAAGTGGATGACGTTGCAAGGAGCAAAGGCATTTGGTCACGCAAAGGTGCCGAGCACTATTAAACAGATGGCAGGAGACCAGTGAAGAGAGTGGCAATGGACAGCAGATGGAGAAGAGATTATGCAGGAGGCCAGAGGAATGCAGTGCATACTCCCGACACACTGCAGTCCCCTCTTACTGCTCACATAAACACTTGATGAGTTTACCTCCTAGTTTTTACTCTTGTTTGTAATGCATGTGAAATATGAAACAGTGTGCATTTCCAGACAATATGCATAAAAGAGAACAGAACACATCTGCCTTTTTTGAGAGAACACGACTGATTTCATGGAGAGTAGAGGGTATTTATTGTGCCTTTATGAACATGTATCTAGAATGACAATAATGCAATCAGCACAGAATGACAAAACATTTTACATGAACATGACATTTTGCAATAGTAATTCAAAGGTAAACCAATAGGGGGCAAACTTGTACAATCATCAAAAAGTCAGGTCATGTGTGTGTTAGCGCTGCACAGTGCAGGGGAGTCAAATTGTGCACAATGACATCTTCATCTGCTTTCTGTGAGACCGTTTTATAAATAAGGTAAGCCTATAAACGTGGAAGTAAGGGTTACTTATTTTAATTTTAATAAGATTCATATTATGGAATTATTCATATTTAATAATAATATGCGGCCCTGAGTTTTTAGTGATATGTATTCAAAACTTTTAAAAAATAATCCATATAAAGTAAAAGGTGGTTTCTTTAAAAAAAAAAAACGCTATAAATGAACCTCATACAAACATATATTACTATAGAAACACCTCACAATGACCAACAGAGATATATATGTACATATATATTATTTATATTGCCATGTAAACATGCTTAATAAATATAGAGAAACACTTACAAAATACAAAAAAGAGACACTATAGGATTCAGCTTCCCTCTCAAATGAAAACAACCCATGAGGCAAAGGAGACATATACCCCTTCTTCTGTGCACAATTTCATGTAAAAGAGTGTGATGTGAAGGAAAATATGACTATGGGGGTCTTTGAAGGAAAAACACCCATCCGAGAGCTGCTGGGACAGGATGAGTGAGAGTGTAGGTGGGGATGTGGGGGCTTTGAAACCACAGGTAAGAGTGACAGGTTACCCCCCCCCCCCCCCACTGCTCCTACACTATGGACCCGACATCCTGTCTGTCAACATGAACAGAGAGACAGGCTAACAGAGAGACAGAGAGACAGGCTCACAGAGAGACAGGCTCACAGGGAGACAGGCTCACAGGGAGACAGGGAGACAGGCTCACAGGGAGACAGGCTCACAGAGAGACAGGCTCACAGAGAGACAGGGAGACAGGCTCACATGGAGACAGGCTCACAGGGAGACAGGCTCACAGAGACAGGCTCACAGCGAGACAGGCTCACAGAGAAACAGCCTCACAGAGAGACAGGCTCACAGGGAGACAGGCTCACAGAGAGACAGGCTCACAGAGAGACAGGCTCACAGAGAGACAGGCACACAGAGAGACAGGCTCCCAGAGAGACACTCTAACAGCCGGCAGCAGCTCCACGCTCTCTGTCAGCGACGACATGTGAGTATGACATTTGAGAGCAAGGTTACACAACACAGGAATCTGTTGGAGCTGAATATTATATCTTATGAGAGAAGTCAGATCTTAAGAGCAGAGACACTGACTTCCTACATTTATTTAACTTTTCAACAAATAAAAAAAACGCTTCCAACCTAATCTGTAGGCAGTGGTGGAAGGTAACTAAGTATATTTACTTAAGTTCTGTACTACATTGTAGATACTTGTACTTCGTTTGGGTAATTCCATTTTCTGCTACTTTATACTTTTACTCCGCTATATCAGATGTTTGTACTTTTTACTCTAATGTATTTATATAATAGTATCATTTATTATTTACTTTTCAGATTCAAATGATTGAAATATTATAATAATATATAACACATACCTTAAACTTTATTTATACCTGGAGAAATTCACAAGCTATACCCAGCAGTACATAAAGTAATTCGATTTATCAGATGCAGCAAATACATGAATGCATCAATAATTATAATCAAAAAATTGCCATTCTGAGTATGAGTACTTTAAGTATATTTTAAAGCTTATACTTGTTTACTTTTACTTAAGTATCATTTTTACTTAATGACTTTTACTTGTAAAACATTTTCCCTTGAGCTGAACTATATCCTCAACCCAAAGAGGAATACACAATCTGACTCAATGTTCTGAGCCAAATATTTTATTAACAAATGTAATTAAGAAAAATCCTGAATAGGGCTCACATTTAAAACATAAATAAAAAAAACAGAATAGGTCATGTCATATACATGAAATGAAGTCCTGGCAGGTGTTTGGCAAATCCATGAGAGCTCTGTAGTTCTTTATTAGTCTGTGCACTGTTATTGGAAGAGTGTCGTCCATTATACCTGGCAGCTGCAGAGCTGCCTCTGTGAGGAGCCCGGTCAGAGGATGGCGGCCTTAGGGGCCTCAGGGGCCTCAGGGGCCTCAGGGCACTTACTCACTGGCTCTGATATTAGTACTACTATAAAGAATACGTTAATCCAATAGAAATAGCTGGTGTAACTGTAAGATAAAAGCGACAAATACAAGCCACGTAGCAACTGAAACAAAATAAAAGGCCAGTCTCTAAACGTTTTGTATGCTATTCATATTGTTATGTATTGGAGTTGCAGCAGGTACAAGCACATCTATAGGCAAAATAAAAGCACGAAAATCGACACCTTATCATGGTTTGAGATCATGACAGTAATGTAACAGAGTAGTTATAATAAGGAAACCAAATGTAGAAGTGGCATGAAGCAAAGTCATTAAGTCATTTGACTATCAAATACATCTGAGTTCAAATCACTAAAGAATTATACTAAAAGCATTATAATTCATCGTTAGTGTTTCCCAGCTTCAAATTAAAAAAACTAAATTCCCTCAGGAAAATAATGTAACCTACCTTGTTTTAAATTGAAACAGAATTATTGGTTATTGTACCTATTATAGAGCAGGAGGTATAAAAAACGCTGGTTGTTCTAATGTATTTTTTCCAAGGACCAAAATGCAGACACAATTTAAATTGTTATACATTTCGCGAAACGGATATGTTGAGGAAATGTCATCGTCTTTAATGTAAAAATGTGGGGTTTTATGTGTCTTCTAATCTGTCCGCAATGCTCAGTGTTCTGACAGTGAAGACAGGGACCCGGGTGATATGAAACCGAACGAAAACCACAAGCATGCAGGGTGCACAATGTGCTGCAGCTCTTCATCTGAAAAACGACACGGTTGCTATCTCGCACATAATGAACGGAGATCTGGCATGTGCAAAATAAGGATTAACTCGGGTTTAAAGATTTGCATGAATTATCTCCAATTATCCTTTAAAATCATATTTTAACTGTTATTGTTTTGTTGGATAAATGACTCATTTTAAAAAAATATATAAATTGTTTGAAAAGTATTAATTCCCCACTGTGATACAGCATTTATAAAAAAAAATTGAAGTGGTTATGGTCAGAAATATTGAAGTTTTGCCAGAGCCGCAAACCCTCTAACGCATGAGGAAGAGCTTGTTGTGTAGTTGAGGAGCCAATAGGCGGCGCTGCAGACCAACTGTGTGCAAAGAGACAACAACTATGTGTCCTGCTGCACTCAGCAGCATATTCCTGTTCAAAACTTTATTTCCCCTCCTGTTGTTCTGTCATGCGCAGTGAAATTAGGAGAATTAGAGAATCAAAATATTGCATTACAATTATTTATAACAAACGGCTCATAACAATCCTAGTAATTCTACATTTCACGAAAGTACATTTGCTTTTTATCTTTGATTAAAATGTATTATTTTTTATTCATATTCAACAATTCCTTCTTTGAGGAATCAAACATTTGCGTTTACATGAACCTGCTGATCGAAGCCGGTGTGTGTGTGTGTGTGTGTGTGTGTGTGTGTGTGTGTGTGTGTGTGTGTGTGTGTGTGTGTGTGTGTGTGTGTGTGTGTGTGTGTGTGTGTGTGTGTGTGTGTGTGTGTGTGTGTGTGTGTGTGTGTGTGTGTGTGTGATTCGGGCTATCAAAAGTCTTACCAAATTCGCATTTTATTTAATCTGTGGCGAAAAACCAACCGCAAAGTAATTCAAAACCGGTATAATTAATCTCTCACGGTGCCACTTCTAATATATTTAATCAAAAGATTGGTCAATGGTAAGAAAAATAATCACACTTTAGTATCTTTACAAAAATATTAATAGTTTTTGATACAACACATTGCCTTCATATAGTAGCCTACCTCAACAAATGACAAACTATTTCATTGCACACAATATATGAAAAATAATAAAAGGACAATTCATGTTTGGAGAACTAGGAGCTGACTCGGGTAAAACGCCTATTTAGCTGTAAATAAGACAGGCAAACCTGCAACCCGTGTGACGTTTTCATAACGATAAAATTAACCAGAAGTTCCTGAGAAATATGAAACTGGAGAAGTGAGAAAAGAGCAGCTAATTGTCAGAAGAAACACGTGCCGTTGGCTTTGTGTGTGCGCCATGCTGCAGGGTGTCACAAACCACACCATTCATTATCCTACCACAAATAAATAAAATGATTTAAAGCGATGGCTCTTCCTTTTGCCCTCCGCTCTCTCAATTGGATTTGATGGTTTCAAAAAAATCTTGTAAACTGCTCGAGTATCCAAAAGAACGTTCTGGAGGAACAAACGATCAGGGTTTCCTTGTGCCCCTCCAATCATGTCTTTAAAGAAGGTTTCAGCCTTGGCTATGTGGTACGAGAGGTGTCAGATTAGAACACGCTTCATACTATGGTCTAGAGCACTAGTTGCTATCCAAAACACAAATAAACAGAGGAGGAACATTGGAGTTAATGATAGAGGAGGGGGGTGGAGGCGTGTCGGAGGGCGGGCTGAGCGCTGCAGAGCCCCGAAGCCCTGAAAAGTGAGGACCGGTGCGCATTGCCCACACTTCCAGCCCCAGCTCCGGACGGATCGCACTCTGCTGCTGTCGGTCCTCATTACTTTTACAAGCTGTCAGATCTCTGCAAAGGTCCGAGACATCAGCTGACCGCATGGCTTCATGAAAGTTTCATGGACTTGGAAAACTTTCAGCGGCGCTTTATTGGAGCTCTTGGCCTCTTTAGTTCCTGTGGATTACTGGCATAACGCAGGACCCTTTGCAGCTATTTATTGGGGTAAGATTCTGTTTGCTAGTGTTCATGTCAGTCTTCTGCAGGGAGGGACTCTCAACTTCCTTTGGAGAACTTTTAAAGATAATAGCCTACATTACGTTTCAGCTCAAACCAAATAGATCAAAAATGGTAATACAAATATAATGAGCATAAGTTAAATTAAATGTTGTTTAAGAAGTGGTGGTTGCTTGGTGATGATCAACACCTTGAGGTCATAGTTCAACCACGTTTTGACAGCACTGTTCTCTGTCCTCAGTGCATAACATCCCGAAACAAGCAGTCCATAAAAACTAGTCTTGATTGAAAGAAATGTAAAGGCTTCGTCCAAAAAAGGAAACTGACAAGGATTAGCCTAAAAGAACACGGCAAGGCGTTGAGACTGCTGTCAAAGTGAAGTCCAAAGGTTATTGAGAGAATAGGTTGAACACAGTTGTTCATATGATCGGAGAACAAGTGCCTGCATGGTGACTTAGGCTGCACCTGTGCACACTTTCATTTAACCCTATCCCGCCTGTGAAAGGGAAGCAAAGTATTCAAAGATCTGTGGAACGAATGTAATGACCTGACCGAAACAAGCAGCAGCCCTCCCGCTGGACTTTCACTCTGCAGTGTGAACCATGTCTTAATCTCCAGAAAGGTTCAAGTTCTGCACCCTTGTGAAATATTTCATTCAAATACGATTTCATCTGACCTGACAAAAACCCGCTAAGCAAAATATTCAAATACAGGAAACAGTTTTTTTTAAATGTAATTCTCGACTGAATCTGAAGGTCAGCTCGCCGTCGCACCGCAGTTTCCACTGGAGACCTGGCCGATACACGGGGTTCTCCTCCGGGCTGGAAACACCCCTTGTCATCCAGGAACAGGGGCATCGGGTCTCAAGTATTCTTGTTAATATTTCACCATATGTCCTACATTGTGGAGATAGATTCATCTTCATGTAAACTTGTTCTGTAGAGAAGTTAAAAGGCCCAGAAGTTATTTGCAACTATGTTTTATTGGGAAACCTATATTATTTTAAAAGAAAACACATTTAGAAAATAAACCTACAAGATAAATATTTGGCCACGTTGGCTACGTTCCACCAAAATGAAAATAAAAAAGCACATGCATTTCAAGAAGGGATTAAATTCACTTTCTTGTGGGTAAGGGCCAGCATTTCTGTGTTCTGCTCTGACTCACCCACTGATTTGATCGCTGCTTGCAAAATTCCTGACTTCTGCAAAAAAACATGGAAGAAACTTGTTTTTCATTGTGAAACACTACAACGTGTCTTCTCTAATTACCTTCTATGAGATATAGAGCATTTTTATTCTTCATGTGTAATTTAAAGTGTACATCGATGCCATATTAGTGTTTCACACCCACTTAATTTAATTACAGTTTCGATGACTGATTTGTTTTATTAAATCGCTTTGAAGCGTCTCTCTGTCTTTGGGACACACTGTGTTTTTGCTAATGCGTGTGTATGTTTTCTCGTGTTTGTTCTGAAGAAGAAGAAGGATTTCACTTAAAACGATTTTCACCTTTGGCAAATTATAAAATTATTATAATCATTAATTTTCTAAATAATCTGAGACCACATTACCCACTTTAAATTAGAGGGAATTTCCTTTGGTTAGCGCACCATGAATATATCCTGTCAGTTTAGTAAAAACTACATAGGTTAAAATAGTCTACAGTCAAACAGGTGTTTTCACTTTAACATGTACTCAAAGGGAATGTGTGGATGAGCTGTTTTGTTAATACTGGCTCAAATGTTGCATTTGTTCACAACACTCATTCTTTCGTATGTTTTCTTCTCAGGGTATTTACCGTGTCTTCTGCTGAGTTCTGAGCCGAGATGGGGAGCAAAGCCCTGCACGCTCCGATCCCCCTGCACCCGGCCCTGCAGCTCACCAACTACTCCTTCCTGCAGGCCGTCAACACGTTCCCCGTGGAGCAGCTGCAGGGGCTGTACGGCCTCAGCGCGGTACAGACCATGCACATGAACCACTGGACTCTTGGTTACCCGCACATCCAAGGCCTGAGGTCGACGATCACAGAGATGGCAGCAGCCCAGGGTCTGGTGGACCCCAGGATTTCCTTCCCAGCGTTACCCTTCACAGCCGCAGCGCAGCTCTTCCACCCTAAACAAGCAGGCTTTGCAAATGGCCTTCCCCTGCTGCACAAGGAGAGGCCGAGGTTTGACTTCGCCAACTTGGCCCTCGCTGCCACTCAGGAGGACCCTCCGAAGGCTGGGGATCTGGCGAAGTTGGCATCGGGGCTAGGGGGAACCATCTCCGAGCTGAGCAAGCTGTCCCCGGACAGAAAGCCCACCCGGGGCAGGCTCCCATCCAAGACTAAAAAGGAATTTATTTGCAAGTTTTGCGGCAGGCATTTCACCAAGTCCTACAACCTCCTGATCCACGAGAGGACCCACACAGACGAAAGGCCCTACACCTGTGATATTTGTCACAAGGCTTTTAGAAGGCAGGACCATCTCAGAGACCACAGGTAAGATACATTTTTTAACAGATAAGGTGCTGCACATTCACATATTCCCAGCAGTATTCCCGGTTATGCAAATAATTGTAATCCCAAATGTGTATTAATCTAAATAACCTCGTCACTTCCATTTAAAAGTATTTAATGTTTTTTATTTATGTTGCTACCAAATAAAGGCGTTTGCCAAATAGTTCTGCACGAGGGCGCTAAAGGTCTTTTACGCATTATGCTGCACAGTAGAGATGTTTCGCCCTGTGACTGGGGTTTATAACCGCTTCAAGAGAATCCATGCCTGAGCAGACATTTGATTAAGTGTCATTTCTGTTTTACAGATACATCCACTCCAAGGAAAAGCCATTCAAATGTCAAGAATGTGGGAAGGGATTCTGTCAGTCTCGAACTCTAGCCGTCCATAAAACCTTACATATGCAGGTAAGCTGGACATATTAACAGTCTCCATGATTTTATACTCACTAAACTATGTGATACCTTATGATCATAATTCACTGTCTACTGCATACATGGGGCTCACACTCTCATTGAACAGTTTCGTATGGCCAATTACCAATTAAAATAAATAAATAAAATGAGAGACAAGTACAATTTGTGTTAAACTTTGTGTAAATCAGTGAGCGCTATATCTGACGCAATAGTGAACAAATTGAGATGAATGAAAGCTTTGCTATAGACGTTCTATACAATTAAAGGGAATAATCCTTTGCTTGCTTCAAATCTAAACAGGAGTCTCCCCACAAATGCCCCACATGCGGAAGAACCTTTAATCAAAGAAGTAACCTGAAAACTCACCTTCTCACCCATACAGACATCAAGCCCTACAGCTGTGGCCGCTGCGGAAAGGTGTTTCGGCGCAACTGTGACTTGCGACGGCACAGTTTGACGCACAGCCCACAGGACTACTAGCCTGGAAAGACTAACAAAAATAATAATGGACAAAAAGCAGCAAAACAAGTCAACGAATATTTTTTTTCAAAGACAATCTCCAAATCAGGACACGTTTACTGCCGCACTATTCAGAGTGGGATGTGGTTACATCTCAAGAGCCATGCTTGCAGACAACCTGTAAATACCCAGACCCTGTACATAATGTTTTTCTATGTTCTGTCTTACCTTGAAATTATAAACTTGTCAAAAAACAGTCATAAATTTAAAGTATGTTCAATTGTATTGTATAATTAAATATTTCCATGATACATTTGCATATGCCTTGTTTTTTTTTTTACATGATCTGCTTCACATTGTAAAAGCCCCAAAAGCAATATTTAGGTAAAATCGATTCCTATGAACAATGACTGTGTTTACAGCCAGTGAGAGCTGTTGTTATTTTTCTGTTTTACAGTATACAGCAGAATATATCCGTTAGCAGCTAGAGTATGGAATGCTAAATGATGTGTCTTTTCAATTGATTATGGTAAACAATCCGAATGTTTATTTAATAAAATGAAAATCATTACGATTTGTACACAGATGTACATCCCTTTAAGTGTTGAGTGTAAATATTTTAATTATAGAGCTCAGTTATTCTAGATCCTGGACCTAGAGGCTCATTCGTGTTCTCCTCGCCTCATTAGAAGCTTCATCACATCTGTCTCTGCATCACCTGTGATGTCGGTGGACGTTCAAAGCGACAGAAAGAGTCTCCAGCGCAAAGACACAATTTAACCGAAGAAGATGAGACCTGGCTGACGGATTATATGTTTTGGGGGAAATTGATCAAGCTTCAATAATCCATCAATTACAAAACCAACAAAAAAATGATATGCAACTGATTTCATTTAGTTTTTTAGACCCTATTTTACATCAACCCTCGACCAATTGTTGTTGAGCACATTTTTAATTTATATAAACATCATACTTATCTGAGCAGCCGCACAACTCGAGTCAAAGCTAATTTAGGTAGCCTATAGTATGTGGGCTATAGTTTAAACATCATTATTTATTTTCACTGTATAATTATTATACAGAATACGTTTCCGGGAGATGGTTGCTAGAAGCATCGGTAAAGACTGTTTTGTATAAATGCGATTTATAAAAGATGTACATGTTTGGATTTGATCCAACTAACCTTTGATCGGTTAAATTCAGAATGCGCTTACATATTAACCATAACTATGCCCGGTGTCCGAATATCTATACTATTTAGGCCCGGGCCGCCCCTCCCTGCACGCAGATCACGCAGACTGCGTGCCTCACCTTTCGGAGGGAGCCTCATCGTGCGGAGGGAGCCTCACCTCGCGGAGGGGACCTCATTTTGCGGAGGGAGCCTCATCTGAAGCGCAAATAAGGTGCACCTCAGTTTATGCGCAAATGCGACTCAATTAAGCGGGCCACAGTTTTGCCGCTGCGAGGTTCCTCATCACATAACTTTGCCTGGGGCCACAAGTTGGCCAGGGGCAGCCCTGAATGTAGGCTGTATAGTCGGTGCAGATAAATAACACCCCCTCCTTTCTCTGCCTTTCTGTGTCTTGGCCAGTTGGCCTTCAGGCGCAGGCTACCATGTTCACCTGACAATGCAATTAACTGTTTGAGAATATATATTAAACTGGCTCGAAAATAAGGGGTTGAGTATACAACAGGTGTTTCAAAACCGCTCTCGTTTACAGGTACTGTAACTGCAGGATTTTCTGAATATTTTCCAAATGTAAAGGTAACAATGTGAAACCTCTCCAACAATCTCTTCAATCCGAGAAAAAAAACAACTATTAATCACCAAAAAATAAATCCTGAAAACGAGGCAACTGATGAAAAATGGATTGTGGAGGCCACGTCATAGCTAATAATAATAATAATGAAGATGATGGACGATAATAAGGACAAAAATCTGAGGTTTTGTATTTGGTTTGCAAATCATCGTTTGAGAAAGTTATTCATTAATGTTTTATATAAATATATATATTTTATTATTTATTATTTTATAAAGTTTCATATTATAGCGTAGTTACACCAATTAATCAAGTATGTATAAACGACAACAAGCCTGAAGTTTAATTATGACCTCAGACTGCGTCAACCATAGTCCTGACTGGTGAAGCCTATACAAATATATTTCATTGAAAAATAAAAATATTGATATTGTTTTAACAGGTCCTCTCATAACGCTTCTCTTCGAAGTTCGAACAGGACATTACCATCATAATGTGCAGCTCATAAAAAGGGTACCGTGTAATACAAACAAGGTGACACACCTTTATGTGTGGACAACACTCATAAACTCGAGAACAAATTATTCAAATTACCCATCACTAGCCTATATTAAATCATATTCAGATTCCTCAGCGTCCTTTCATTAAGCCAATGCCCCCATTGGATATAATAATTTCTTCAAATGTGAATTATTTTCACTACTCTATCTACAATTCGTTAAGCCTGTTTAATTCGTTTTTATTTCTACTTGGAAAAAATAAAAAAACTACGTCCTCATTTTAATTGTAATGCTATAGCCTACTGAATTTGAACACGTAGGCCTAACAATGCATTCAAATAAACGGTAATGCCAGCCTGTGACCATAACGCACGCACGCACACACGCACACGCACACGCGCACACACACACACACACACACACACACACACACACACACACACACACACACACACACACACACACACACACACACACACACACTACTACTACTAACGTAACTACTACTATACTAACTAATAACTAAGTAACTAACGTAACGTAACTAACGTAACTAACTAACTAACTAACTAACTAACTAACTAACTAACTAACGTAACGTAACGTAACGTAACGTACGTACGTACGTACGTACGTACGTACGACGACGACGAACGACGTACGTACGTA